TTTCCTTTCTTGACTTGGCTGAACTTGTACAAACGCTTGCTTATCGGCTTTCACCTCATGTGCAAGTCGAAGGCTGCGTCATCGGGTGTATTTCTAGGAAGGCACTGTGTCATTTGCTGGACGTCTATCGGGACGCTGACCACTTGACCTTAGATTCCGTACTGCCCGTCGCCATGCATTAAACGCCTGATGCGCTTGAACGAGAGCAGTGGAGCGACTAATAGCTGCTTTCCGAGCTACCACCTCCCGGGTAGCTTGCTGTCTGCGTAGATGTCTCACCTCCGTATTGTATATACCACATCATTGCCGCTTTGACGCTGCTTTCCGAATTCTCGGCCCCGGGCTTGCTTGCTTTCTTTGTGAGCGTTGCCGTTCGCGGGAAAGGGCGCATTCACGCCTTTTTTCGTCTACGGCAGAACCAACAAGAAGAGCCTGGAATGTGTAACACACACCCACACTGGAAGATTGGCCAACAACCAGGTAGTTTCAACGAAATACTTTTTTATTTTGTTAGCTTAGACGTTTAGAGTATTGTGAGATCAAAAACAAGAACATATATAAATAATTTACCAATAGAATTTACAAATAAAAAAATTAAGCAGATGATTTCCGCAGCAACACTAAATCGAATAATAAATAAATCAACTTGTAAACAAGTAACTTGGGGGTAATAATTGGGTCTACAGAATGAATTCCTTTCCTGAAGTGCATTGACAACTTTCCCTTCACTGAATCCTATGAACAAATCCCCCAAATAAAATACATTTGGAGTGTTCAACTGCAATCTCATGAAACAGACGGCAGCACCTAATCTAAATTTGTGCAATGCGGCGTATCTTTTACGATATATTGGATAATGTTGTGTTGTCTTATGAACTCCACAAAACCAACAATCAGGCGAAGCAGCCAGGTCAGTTCTGTGTAAATAAAAAAATTGTCAGATCCCACGTACAGTGGGAATCGATGACATGCGAAGCACGAACGAGAAAGGTTTATTTGTCAGTTTAAAATCAGAACAACGTTACGAGGCGGAGGTAAATTATGCCGTACATAACTTCCATGTCTTAATTATCCTGTTTGGATGTGCCATTTGCCTTCATCTAATCACGTCACGTGATACTAAATTTAGTATATGTTGAGATAGCGAAACCACCACGAGCACAATATGAGCGTAGTATGTTCATGCCCTTACATGACACGCGTGTCAAGATTATCATGTTTGCGCCTGTCATATATTTCGTGATCCATTGACGCCACGTAACACCAAACTTGGTATATTCGGAGCTAGCAAAACGGCCACGAGCGCATCATGAAGGGCGCAACATACTCTAATGTTGCGTTGACGCGCGCGCACGCTGGGCACAGCGACGCTACGTTAGCAAAACGTGAGCACTCTATAGTCTGACGCCAGGCGCGACCAGCGTCCATCGGCGCGGCCCGAGGGCAAGCGGCGCGAAATGCGACATGCTGCCTTTAGCCCCGATGCGTTACCCAGACAACACTGCGTCTCCCTCTTTGCGTGACGGAGGGACGCCGGACGTGCTAAAACGCCCATGCGTCAAAGCAACGCAGCGCGGCGCGCTTATGCCAGTATATGGCAGGACCGGCGCCTGGCGTGGCAACGACAGCATGACTCGACGAAATGAACGCCGTTGAGCACGCGCGCCACGTTACGTCGAAATGTATTGGTGCCTTGACTGTGGCGTGTAGTCATCTTCTCACATGACACGCATCACATGATTACCATGTTTCCACCAGTCACATACCTTCGTCATCCATTGACGTCACGTAATGCCAAATTCGGCATATGTGAACCTAGCGAAACGGCCGCGAGCGCATCATGAGCGTAGCATGTAGTCATGTTACATGACACGCATCTCATGTTTATGATGTTTGCACCAGTATCATACCTTTGTCATCCATTCACGTACTGTAATACCAAATTTGGTATATGTGACGCTAGCGAAACGGCTGCGAGTGCATTGTTAGCGTGGCATGTAGTCATGTTACATGAAAGCATGTCGTGATTTTCTTGTTAGGGTCTGCAGCTTGTGTTTGCCATGCATTCATGCCATACCAAAGCAGTTTTGCAGCATTCCATGGGAACGAAACCACCGCAACAGCTGCAGGACCATGACATGTAAATCATGACATTCATGACATGCATATCATGATTTTCGTGTTACGACTAGTCAGATGTGTTCTTCATACAGTCACGTTATGTCATACGAAGTTTGGTGTTTATACCGTTATCTAAACGGCCAGGAGAGCTAAAAGACGTAGGCGGCTAGATAGATAGATACGCTCGAAGTCACGGAAGTTCTCTAAGGAATGCTTCGCATTTAAAAGAAGATAAAAGGGGTACGCGTAGGCACGGCAGCGTTGTTTGATGTAAGAGTTGTAATCAAGTGCACACTTCTAAAAACAAATGAGCGGGTAAGAAATGGTCACTCCTTTAGAGTTGGGAAACAATATAGGCAACAGTTAGTGTGCGGTTAACAAAACACGTCATTGCCACGAAACAAAGACGAACCACTACACTCCAACGCTCAGCTTCATGCAAGGGTGGTAGCGGATGTGACAGCGCGGCGTAAAGAAATCTTGTTAGAAAAGCAGATACCTTAAACTCAAGAAAGATATATAGAAGTGCCGTTGCTGATTCTGAAAAAAAAAAAATGCCTGAAAATGCTGCGCATTCTTCGAACAAAAAGTCGGTGTTGTGAATATTCTGAATCAACTTAAGTGTACTCGTTCATGGCACTGTATAATGACATTATTGACGCTCGAAACTTGTTAGAATATCTAATAGACTTATTTTCTCAAGAGCCTGCGTCACTTCTGTCGAAATTCACTATCTAAAAACCAACAAGGAACGATGAATAAGCACAGCTGCACGCTTACCTTTTATGCAAACAGTGAGCTTCCCGCATGCCAGATAAGTTGCCAGACCAGAAAAGGGCCGCCCGCTAAGAAACTAGCCGCGCCCACGAAAAAAAAACATCTCTAATGATTGTGACTTCAACAGTAAGCGTGTGACATATTTTAACATTTCAGCAATAGTTTATGTGTGAAAATTCCACAGTGTTCATTGTGGGCGGTAAAGGGAATTCTAACATCAGTTTTCTCCTAAATCTAGCCCTTCTAATGAATTTAGAGGCTGGTAATAAGATGATAATTGGGCCATTCAACGATGACTTAGCTAACGCATCCTTCATTTAATTGAGGAAAATTCCTTTATGCCCTGGTATTCAAACCAATTTAACCAAATGTATATGCAATGGAACTAATGATTTGAAAGTACCCAACAGCCCCGCCGCGGTGGTCTAGTGGCTAAGGTACTCGGCTGCTGACCTGCAGGTCGCGGGTTCAAATCCCGGCTGCGGCGGCTGCATTTCCGATGGAGGCGGAAATGTTGTAGGTCCATGTGCTCAGATTTGGGTGCACGTAAAAGAACCCCAGGTGGTCGAAATTTCCGGAGCACTCCACTACGGCGTCTCTCATAATCATATGGTGGTTTTGGAACGTTAAACCCCACATATCAATCAATCAAAGTACTCAGCACTCGATAGTTCTCACTGCCAGCGAGAGAAGAACACATCGACAACGAATCACTGAAGTTACGGCCGAACAATCGATGCTGTTCATTTGCAGAGAGCTAGAATTTTCGCAAAAATAGAAAAACTGTGGTCTTGAACGCACTTATTTTTCATCGTCATCAGCCACAGCACAAGCAAAAAGTACTTAATACGTTAAATATGTGTAGTTGGTACCTTCACTATTAGAATAATGATGAATGGCATATGGTATAGCGGCGGATTTCCTACTTCATTAATGTTACGGGGGGCGCATGTGGGTACCATGCATGGGCTGCGCTGGGACGGTCATATGATGGGCGTATTTCATTTTAGGAAACTCCATGGACGTAGTAACTTGCATGTACTGTGCCACACAAAGGACAACACAGAACGGACAAGCCTCCACCCTAATGTGCTTCGCCCCCAAGAAAAAAAAGCCAGACGTGAGCTAGATGCGAAGTACAGTAGATGGAAAGCTGGAATTTTCAGGGCACTATGTAAACTCACTTGAGGCTACTAATACTTACATGGCACCCACACTTTAAAGGTACTCGCTACGCCATAAAGCACAATTATTGCCAAGTAAGGAAGGACCCATTGTGCGACTATTCCTCATTTTGCGGAAAAGCTAGGTACCAGCTACACACACCTGTAAGGCATTACTATGTAGACTTTGTTGCTGCCGCGGCTGATGACGATGCCAAAATACTGCCGAGCCCTTTGTAATGGGTTGGAATCTTTAAACGACCTAGTTACGCCGTTGGCATTGAGCGACGCCATGTCGTTATTTTGACCTCCTACCCTACTACACTGCATGCATGAACGGTTTTTACTGAGGTCCCGAAGAAATGGATCTTGAGGGTCAGAAAGGGGGGGGGGGGGTGTAGCGAGTAACTTGCATGTGCTGTGCCAGACAACGAACAAGCCTCGATTCTAAGGCTAAGACGCCCCTTCCCCCCCCTCCCCCCCCCGAATCTGTACTTCATCAAGTATTACTACCTTCACTCTTTGCCGACCTTGATTTGAAAATTACAAATTTTCTATTACCCATTGTATCTCCTGGCTGCCGTAAGGATTATAAAAATGGCATTGCAATCTAGGCACTCTGTCTACTAATCATGCGACGCATCTGGGCTTTGCCAAATATATATATATATATATATATATATATATATATATATATATATATATATATATATATATATATATATATATATATATATTCTCGAAGTTTTCAAGCGCCGTAATCTAAACCGGCTCACCAGATACACACGAGCACTAATATTCAGTAAACAAACAAACAGAACTATCGTGGAAAAAAATTATGCAATCACACCGTGGCGTGCGCACGCCGCGTGTTCACACAACATTTATTGCAGCATAAACATTACGAGGAGCGAAGCGAAATCATTCTCGGCAGCTCACTGCGGTCCTTCATGAGTTCCAGTATCTCGGTGGAATACTGCACTTCCTCCCGAAACTGCGCTACGTCGCGGTGCTCGTGGATGAAGCCGGCCAGCATGGCGACCAGGGCTTCCTTGACCGAGGGCAGTTCGCTCAGCAGCGGCTGGACACTGTGCGTGGCCAGAGAGAGCAGGGCGCTGAGCAGGAACTGCCGGCAGTCTCCGTCGACGCGCGGCAGCAGGTCGACCGTGTCGCGCGCGAACTCCGAGTCGGCGAGCTTGGCGCGGAAGCTGTCCTCCTGGGCGCACAGCGATGCCACGAGGAAGCTGGCCTTGGTCTTCAGACGCCTGTATGTTGAGCCGGTAAGGAGCGTTCGGCCATGAAAACGTTCGGAAGAAATCGCCGTATTTATTTCTTCGGATTAATGAGTATTCTCGTCTGTATACTGGCTGATAGATGACAGGTAGGAGCACCAGCCAGATCTTAAATAATGTTTACACAGAAGGATTTGCCCTTGCTAATGTCGCGATTAAAATAAGAGTATCGCCAATGCATTGAATGAGACTGCCCTCGTTCAGAGTGGTCTTTAAGACTTCACACTTGTGTTTCCTCTTTATGCTTCATTTATGCATATTTGTCTTGCCTTTCTTCCTTGATACGTAAAGGCGTCATGGACCACGTTTCCAAGTAATCATCGAATGACCTCGGTATGAGCTTATTGACTCGCGAATCAGTCACGGCTAATGTATCTGCCGATTTAGTCGAGATTGAGATAATTTGCAGGCGTTTTTAATGTAGTTTCTCTCTTTTTTTTCTTCGCGATCAGCGCACCGGAAGCTAGGGAAAGAGGATTGACACAGGTGAAAGAGGTTACGTCAGTACGCCCCGTGACATTGAATTTTTTCGATGGTGAATCACCTCTTTGAAGTTTAATTATGAGGATCGCTATAAAAAGAAATTAAGACTGGCAATCAGCAAAGGACGCTATTTGCTCGCCGTCTTCGCAGTTGGTTTTGCCGCAGCGTCAGGCATCTTAAGAGAGTTGAAGACATTATTTCGAGCAGTAATTAGGGAACTTAAAATAATTAGCTTTTCAATTCCTGAAGTTAGGCAGTTAAGTCAAATGGGAGAAGTGAAGCGCTTCATGCGAAGAAGCTATTGGCGCTTTGAGATTTTGCAAAAGTACCCTCTAGTAACAACAGCGAATTAATGAATTTCTCCTAAACTCTGTGGCAAAATCGAAAACGTGAAAGAGCAAAACTGCCTTAATCTTCTAAGACGTCCGGAATGAAAGAGCTTTGTCACATCAATCACGAACCGACTTCGTTGTGAGGGTGTGTGGGCTGCGCTTGCAATTACAGCACGCATGACGCACACTCATTAACGAAAGGGGAAGAACTGCACCCCTATAAACACTGTTTCCGACAGTGACATCATTGTAGTCGACTGCCTGTTGCGATCAGCGGTCTCTTGGTTTCGGTTTCGCCGCAGGATAGCGGAGAATTTTATCAATTCACTGTTATTACTATAGAGACCGCTTTTACGAAATCGGAAAGCGGCTATCGCTTCTTCGAATGAAGGACTTCAATTGCACCATTTGACTTAATTGCCTAACTCCACTAATCAAAGAGTTACGTATTTTATGTTTCCCAATTCTTGCTCGAACTGATGTCCTCAACCTTCTTAACAAGTCTGTCATATGAGTTATTCTAAGGTCGCAGGTTCGGTTCCTGTTCACGGCAAGTTATCTTCTCACCCACTTTTCTTTCTTCACATTTACTATACGATTTGGTCTAACAACTTCCCCTATACTTTCCTTGGCATTATTGTCTGTTAGATGTTATTTATACAGTGTGAAAACATGAAAAAATGAGCCCATCAGTATACACTTCTTTCCCTTATTTATTACCGAGGTCTCGTACTGGCAGACTTGGTGCATTTAGGTTGTATACGAGGGACTATTCGTCAGCTGCCAGCTCGTAATAAGTTCACGTGCTACGTGATGCCAAACAGGCTCATAAAGAGTGTGCCACACTTGCCACCATGACTACTGGTGGCACTGACTGACACTCCCACGTTTAAATTCACATATATACCGAAGAAAGTGACTGGGGGAATAGCCGCTGTGGTAGCTCAGTGGTAGAGCGTCGAACGCGTTATTCGAAGGTCGCAGGTTTAGTTCCTGCTCACGGCAAGTTATCTTTTCACCCACTTTTGTTTCTTCAGATTTACTACACAATTCGGTCTAATAACTTCCCCTATACTTTTCTTGGCATTACTGTCTGTTAAATGTTATTATATATATATATATATATATATATATATATATATATATATATATATATATATATATATATATATATATATATATATATATATATATATATATATATATATATATATATATATTGACGCGTGTGTACTGGTGGACCAAAACGACGATAAGGGGATTTGGCGGACACCAGCTAGTGGAGCTCTAGGTGATCGAAGATCAACAAGAGAATCTTGCTGTTCGGCTGCTGAGAAGTCGCTGTGTCAACGTTTATCTGCCTTTGGTTCGCGCTGTACCGCGACACTGGTGGAGGTGCTGGGGCGCAACCCTACCTAATGCTCCATACTACCCACTGGGAGCCGTTCATCTAGCTCGGACGCATTGTCACCCATTGCAACTCCCGTGCACCGGTTCAGTCGGCGGCTGATAGGCCTCGCTTCAGAGTTCACTCCTTCCACGGAACCTCACAAGTGCCGATTACCTCTCCAAATGGCCAATGCCAGTCCGCAACCGGCGCCCCAAGGCTCCCCGCCAACACAGCCTTCACAGGTAACCATCTTTCAACCGCTGGTTCCCGATCACTGTAGTGGCGGCGCCCATGAAGACGTGTACAACTGGCTTGAGCACTATGAGCGTGTCGCCAAGATTAATCTGTGGTCTGAACAAGAAAAGCTCTCACGAACCTATTTCTACCTTGACGGCGGTGCAAAAATTTGGTACGAGAACAAAGAAGCCACTCTGTTAACCTGGGGTGACTTCCGACAACAGCTTGTCGATACGTTCACCAATGTCGATCGACGCGATCGTGCGCAGCAGCTGTTGGAGCTACGGGTTCAAAAACCCAATGAAAGCGTTACTATGTTTGCTGAAGATATGACTCGTATTTTTCGTCGAGCTGACCCGAACATGAGTCAAGATAGGAAGTTGAGCTACCTCATGCGCAGCGTTAAGGAGCAACTTTTCGCCGGGCTACTGCGCCACCCTCCAAGTACCGTTGTTGACTTTATCAAGGAGGCTACGGCTATCAAGCGGGCCCTCCATCAACGATGCAGGCAGTATCATCGAATGTCTAGCAGCGCCCCAATCAATGCTGCCGCCATACCTGAGGATCAAAGCTCCCTGCGAGACCTCATTAGGGAGATAGTTCGCGAAGAACTGCAAAAGTTCCGGAATCCAGTTGCTCAAACCCCCGTTGCGTTCGTCGCTGAACTGGTACGCGACGAAATCCGCCACGCATTTTCTACCGCTGGTCCTGGTGACGAGCACCGTCCCATGAGCTATGCCGATGCTCTGCGACGTTCACCATCTGGTACATCGCCGCCATATCACCCAGTGCCGACGGCCCCTTGGTCACCGCCGCAAGAGCAGACCCTGAGCCGACCGCCAAGCCAACCGACGTACCACCCGGCGTCCACAGCAGCACCATGGACATCGTCGCAAGAAGGGAGGCTCAGACGTCCACCGCTCCGAAGAACAGACGCATGGCGCAGAATCGATCGGCGTCCACTATGCTTTAACTGCGGAGGTGCAGGTCATATTGCCCGTCATTGCTGGCACCGCTGTGATTCGTTCCGCCCTCCTCGAACATGGTCTGACGATCGACGTGCAAACGAAGAATACATACCACGCCGGGAGGACACCTCTTTCCATGGAGCCCGTTCTCACTTTTACGAATACCGTACTTCTGACGAGGAGGCAATACCTACCCGCCAGCCAGGTTTGGGACGTCAATCCCGCTCTCCTTCTCCCGCTCATTCACCTTCGTCGCACCGACGTACCTCAGCGGACCTTAACGCAGGAAGGTCACCCAGCCCGCGCCGGCGAAACTGAGGGCGGCGACTTCCAGGGGTAAGGTTGCAGGTAATGAAGATGACGACGAAAAGCCCCCAATACCCGACGCTGTAAATCCGACAAGACGTGAGAGCGACGACATTGTGACCGCCGACCTGAGTGTTCTTCTTGACGGCCAGAAAGTAACAGCCTTAGTCGACACCGGTGCCGACTTTTCTATTATCAGTCAGGACCTCGCCATCCGCCTCAGGAAAGTGAAGACGCCGTGGACAGGCCCTCAAATAAGGACGGCAGGTGGTCAGGTATTGATGCCCCCTGGAAGATGCACAGCGAGAATTGACATAGGAGGTTCTTCTTTCGTTGCGTCGTTCGTCGTTCTCGCCGCATGCTGCAAGGATCTAATTATTAGTATGAACTTCTTACGAGAGTACAGCGCCGTCGTCAATATCCCAGACAGTCTGATTACATTCCGCAACAGTTCGGGTGCACCTGACTGTACGCAGGCGCGACTAAACCAATTGCGTCTAACTGATGACGATGTGGTTCTCCCTCCTCGATCATGCACGCTTGTTTCTGTGGCAGCCGCTATCCAGTTTGACGGCGAAGGAGTAGCAGACCGAATAACCTCGATCCTCCTCACAATAGGCATTTCCATCGCAAGAGGTATCGTCAGTGTCGCCGCTGGACGCACGGACTTGCTTCCGACAAATTTTAGTAATGAGCGCTGGCACCTACCAAAAGGCATGGCCGTCGCTTACTTCGACGATATCACAGACGCAGAAGGCTGCTTGGCAGTAGTCGATGAGGCACCAAAACTTGATTCAACGCCAGTTCTCGATGTTAGCACTACTTTGCCTAAGAACGAGCGAAAGAGGCTTCTTGAGCTACTGGCCCAATTCAAAGACTGCTTTTCAACAACATCAAGAGTTGGCCGCACGCCTCTAACCAAGCATCGGATAATTACCGAGGACATGGTGAGACCAATTCACCAAAACCCCTATCGCGTGGCTGCAAAGAAACGCGAAGTGATACAAGAGCAAGTCGACAAATGCTAGAGGATGACGTCATTCAGCCCTCAAAAAGCCCCTGGGCGTCACCTGTAGTCCTCGTTAGAAAAAAAAGACGGCAGCCTGCGCTTCTGTGTAGAATACCGAAAACTCAATCAGGTGACAAAGAGAGATGTGTATCCACTTCCTCGTATAGATAACTCTCTCGACGGACTTCGACATTGTCGTTACTTTTCATCGATGGACTTAAGAAGTGGGTATTGGCAAATCGAGGTAG